TATAATATTTAGACATCCATTGAATCAAATTATTGCAGTCCTTCGTGAAAATGAATAACTGCAAACAAATTATGCTGTTTTACTTATATTGTTTTTACATGCAAGTAGATGTTTGCAGAATAAATTTCTATTCATGGCAAAAGAAAAACATTGTGCTTTCTTTCATTTCCCTTGCCTATCTAATTACTGTTCCTAATACATCCTACTGGCTTGTAATGATCAGAACTCGATCTTTAATTTTATTTATGAACTTGTGTATTCCAATATATTGCATGTATGTACAGTTTTTTTTTATTTTCATGATTCAGTAATCTCTTCAGTGCTATCTTCAATCCATCTAAACACTGTTTTCGTTCAGCATCATTATCGATAAGTCAAATAGATTCTAAGAAAATATTGTATTCAATATGACAACAGAATTATTATGATAGAATATTTTATGTAATGTTACAGGTACAACAAGGATCTGGTGCTCCTCCCACATCAGGTCTTCAAGGAGTTGGAGTTTCAGTTGGACAACAAGGAATGTTCATGACACAAGGAGTAGGTGTGACAGGTGCAAGAGCAGGATTCCCTGTTGGAAGTGTAGGAAGTAGCGCACTTCAGGGTCCCCTTGCTTTCCTGGAAAAGACAACGAGCAATATAGGAATGCCCGAAAGGCGGAGTTGACGCGGAAGGGGGAGGGGCCGGGGTCGGGGTCGAGGAAAAGGCCGAGGAAGAGGACGAGGCGGAGGAGGAAGTTTACCTCCGCCACCACCACTTCTCGATACTTCGGACCCGTCGTCGTATGCTGCTGCTGCCGCAGTTGCAGCTGCTGCGGCAGCGCCCCTTCCCTCTCCACAGCAGCAGCCTCCCCCGTCTTGTACATGAATACATTTACAGTTAAGTTGTTATTGTAAGATACCGTTCCTATATCTAAAATTGTTGCGACCGCAAAAAATGGTTCTCGAAGTTATAGATTTTATTTGCAGTAGTAAAACACCTAAATGCTTTATTAATTTAACATTAAGTATGTGTTGCAATGATTTTATATAATATGCTTGTACAAAAATATGTACGATGCAAATGCGCGCAATTATGCATACCGGTTTAATTATTCTGAAAAACAGGGTTTCAATTGAAAAATAATAATTAAACAATGCCAGTTTTATTGAATCGTTTCAATATAAATAACGAACACAATATATAAACACAATTTAGTCTTCTTTACAGAAATATTTTGTTCGTTCTAAAAAATATTGTTGATCTTTTGTTTTTAAGTTTTATACTGGGGTTCTTTTTTATTACTCTATAATAACTCAGAAGACTATATATAAAAAAAAAAAACGCACCAATATGTGCAAAAACAGAATAACCAGTATGTCCTTTTGAACTATTCAAGCTGCGAAAACTGTACATAACGAGATCATATGGTCGAAAAATATTAACATAAATTTCACATGTACATAGAATTAGAAGCACGAATTTTCATACAATAAATCATGTTGTATTTTATTATATTAAGTTCGAATAGTTATTAGCACTTTACAAGTCGTGTGTAATGTTTTACACAATGTTGATAAAAAAAAAGTCAGATGTATTTCAGACGCGACACAAATAAAGTATAAATTGCCCAAATTTAATATACCTCCCATGGATAACTCTATTTTATATTAGGCTATTTTTTGTACAAATTTAGTACACTGTATTCTATTCTATAGATGTCATATATTTAAACTTTTTTTTTTTTTTTGGTATTGTTGGATGCCTCTTATTCATTTAATGATTATCAATGTTCATTGACGCTTTCGTCAATTACTTTAATAAATTGAACATTTTATATAATATGAATAAAAACAAGCTGTACAAAAGAAAGTTCATTAGATTTGTACTAGGTATTGCTGTACTGTAAAGATATAATTCTGTACACAAATATAATGGTTACAAAATTTGATAAGATGTGTAAGACTCGATTTTCTTTTACATTCCGATTGACTTAATTCGTTGTATTCAACTCTAATGTGTTTATATAAATGTCGGAATGTAAGAAGGGAGGTGGGCAGTATATATAGATAAAATGTGTGTATACGTACATATATATGTATATATATAGAGAGAGAGACAAAGTTATATATACATATATACATGTGTGTATACACATATCAATACGTGTATATATATAAAAATAGATAAACTTGCACCATACAACTTAAAAATAGTTGTAAATTTTAACACAATGCCTGTAAAAACTGGATAAGCGTACGAGTCGGACGACCTGTCATTCCAGCCGGTATATATGGTAACTTATCAGGCCCAGGACCCATTACTCCTGCAATATCTAAATGCATCCAAGGTGTATTATTTGGGACGAATTCGCGTAAAAAAGCAGCTGCGGTGCATGAACCACCACCTTTGGTTTTCGCAACATTTCTCACATCAGCTGAGTTAACTTTCTCTGCAAATAACATCAAATTATTTGATGTGTCACGCCTTTTCAATGTTCAAAATATTAGTGTACTACCATCAAATTATTTCCTTACTTGTCATTTCATCCGTGAAATGCTGCCAAAGTGGAAGTCTCCACATTCTATCACCAGTAAGAGTACCAGCATTTTTTAATTTCTCAAAAAGTGTACCATTATTTGTAAAAACTCCAGTTGCTGCTCCTCCTAAAGCAATTCTCATAGCACCCGTTAGTGTTGCAATATCCAGGATAAAGCTGCATATGTAAAAAGAAATATTCGATATATATGTATCTATGTTAAATAATCTTATCTACTGCAATAGATTTTCTAATTTATGTAAAAATTACCTTGGATTAAATTCATGAGCATAGTAAAGTGCATCAGCAAGGATAAGTCGACCTTCCGCATCGGTGTTATCTACAATGATACTTTTTCCATTCATTGCAACTACAACGTCTCCTGGTTTAGTTGCAGTTCCAGAAGGTAAATTTTCAGTAAGTGGTATCAAACCAATGATATTCAGTTTTAATTTAAGGTCAGCGGCAGCTCGCATAGCGGCTGCTACACATGCTGCACCGCTCATATCAGCACGCATTTCATCCATATCAGCTGGAGGCTAAGATTATTACATATCTATGTTAAATCATTTGAATATGTAGTTACTTATCTTTAATTTGAACATGTAATTATTTCACCTTGAGACTGATACCGCCAGAATCGAAAGTAACACCTTTTCCAACAAAGACAATTGGTTGGGTATTATTATCATTAGCACCTTCGTAATGAATTTCAACAAACTTTGGTGGTTCACAACTACCGTGAGATACACTAAGAAAAGAACCCATTTTTTTCTCTTTTGCCCATTCTTTATCATGTACTTTTACATTAATTCCTAATTTGGTAAGCACCGAGCACACTTCCGAAGAAAATATCGTGGGCGTCATTAAATTAGCTGGGGTATCTGCTAGATGACGCGCCCAATTTTGAGCTTGAGCTTTAATACATCCAATTCGCCATTGTTCCCTTTAAACAAAAATTTTTATTATACTATTATGATAATAAAGAAATATTTAAAAGCAAAATGTAATACTTACTCTCCTTCTTCACCATATAGTGAAACATTTGGAAGTACTTTTTGCTTCTCTTTATTTTTCAATCCTTGATAGAACCATGTTGACAATGTAGCTCCTTCTGCTGCAGCTTCTGCATCTCCTAATGTTTCTAATTGTATATCTTTTATTTCAACTGCATCCAGTGCACGACAACCCACTAATACAACATTGTTTTGGTTTTCGCAACATTTCTCACATCAGCTGAGTTAACTTTCTCTGCAAATAACATCAAATTATTTGATGTGTCACGCCTTTTCAATGTTCAAAATATTAGTGTACTACCATCAAATTATTTCCTTACTTGTCATTTCATCCGTGAAATGCTGCCAAAGTGGAAGTCTCCACATTCTATCACCAGTAAGAGTACCAGCATTTTTTAATTTCTCAAAAAGTGTACCATTATTTGTAAAAACTCCAGTTGCTGCTCCTCCTAAAGCAATTCTCATAGCACCCGTTAGTGTTGCAATATCCAGGATAAAGCTGCATATGTAAAAAGAAATATTCGATATATATGTATCTATGTTAAATAATCTTATCTACTGCAATAGATTTTCTAATTTATGTAAAAATTACCTTGGATTAAATTCATGAGCATAGTAAAGTGCATCAGCAAGGATAAGTCGACCTTCCGCATCGGTGTTATCTACAATGATACTTTTTCCATTCATTGCAACTACAACGTCTCCTGGTTTAGTTGCAGTTCCAGAAGGTAAATTTTCAGTAAGTGGTATCAAACCAATGATATTCAGTTTTAATTTAAGGTCAGCGGCAGCTCGCATAGCGGCTGCTACACATGCTGCACCGCTCATATCAGCACGCATTTCATCCATATCAGCTGGAGGCTAAGATTATTACATATCTATGTTAAATCATTTGAATATGTAGTTACTTATCTTTAATTTGAACATGTAATTATTTCACCTTGAGACTGATACCGCCAGAATCGAAAGTAACACCTTTTCCAACAAAGACAATTGGTTGGGTATTATTATCATTAGCACCTTCGTAATGAATTTCAACAAACTTTGGTGGTTCACAACTACCGTGAGATACACTAAGAAAAGAACCCATTTTTTTCTCTTTTGCCCATTCTTTATCATGTACTTTTACATTAATTCCTAATTTGGTAAGCACCGAGCACACTTCCGAAGAAAATATCGTGGGCGTCATTAAATTAGCTGGGGTATCTGCTAGATGACGCGCCCAATTTTGAGCTTGAGCTTTAATACATCCAATTCGCCATTGTTCCCTTTAAACAAAAATTTTTATTATTATATTATGATAATAAAGAAATATTTAAAAGCAAAATGTAATACTTACTCTCCTTCTTCACCATATAGTGAAACATTTGGAAGTACTTTTTGCTTCTCTTTATTTTTCAATCCTTGATAGAACCATGTTGACAATGTAGCTCCTTCTGCTGCAGCTTCTGCATCTCCTAATGTTTCTAATTGTATATCTTTTATTTCAACTGCATCCAGTGCACGACAACCCACTAATACAACATTTCCTTCATGTATTTCTTCAAGTTGATTAATACCAAGATTCTTTTTTCCAAGACCAACAACTGCAATTCCTGCATAATCCTTTTCATCCAATCCCCAAAATACTCTAGCATGACCTTTGGGAATTTTTGGACCTGCTCTGTAGTGGTATAAGTATAAAAATATTATTTACAGTTGCTTATTTAATAAGATTTGCATCACTAAGGCAAGGGAGTATATACAAAATTAAAAATTTTGTTGAAGGACATACTGAGACACAAATTCACAAATTTATTCATTACAATAATTCTAGGCGTCTTGGACATGTATAGCATATGCTGCAGCATTTTCAATTTTAAAATATAATCTAAAAATATACTATCCTTTACATGTATCCTAGAATATATTTCTTTAAAATTACTCTAATTATGTCTCTAATAATTGTGCTAATTATTAGTTAGATTAAAATTACAATTACTTTTCACAATTAGAGCTACATATTAATTCACAACTATATTTTCTGACTTATAATGGAGACAATTGATTTGCACTTGTAATACATTAACAGTAGGCGCCACAATTATTTTCAATGCATTTGTTATTCATAAGAATTTACAATAGTAAAGAATTACCTCTGAATATAATAAAGTACAGTGTAACACTACATTCTTATTACCAAAATTCGCTTTCTTGTATATACAGATTTAAGTATGTAAATTTGTCATGGGGTTTTGTATTTGTAACATTGTTTGCTTAATTATTATTACGTAAATCGTAAAGAAAATATTAAAAATTGACACACTGATATTTAGAAGTATGAGCCATGATATACATTTGCTTAAAATGTACTATTCAGAGCTAAGTAAAATAATATGTAAATAGAAAATAGTAAATGTAAATTTTCTGCCTTTCTTTGATAAAATCATTTCATCTAGTAATTATTAATATTATTTGAAGAAGTTATTGTTAATTAGAATCAACGTATTTATAATATAATAAGTACACTAAAAATATTTACAACTACTACAACTAAAAATATTTACAATTTACGATTTTTCATTACAAATTCTATCTTTCCTTAGCTCTGACACTAATATACAAAGACAGTGATTTAACACTGGTAGTAGGAACTTAATGCAATCCAAGCACATTTACTATCTTCTACCTGACATGATGTTCTTGGTGCAAATTGAATTGAATAGACAGTATCAGCATTGTTTATACCAACTTACACATTTCTACTATTTTGAATGTAATGTAATTAGGCTACTTTGGCAAGATGTACTTTAAGGATCACACCTTTACAAGATTAGATTCTTATGTCATAATCATTATGAATCGATAATTTAAAATATGTTTCCTTTTTACATATTATTACATGTCACAAAAATATTTTCTACTTGGTGAATTATTTAGAATAATAAAATTTTACGGTGCATTCAACATTCACAAATCATATTTAATGAATTAGAAAGAATCATTGTATATAACAAAATATTAAATAACACACGATTTAATTATAAACAAATACCAATACCATATAATATTTATGGCCAAAAATACAAAAAGATAATGACAATACAATGATAATAATAATGAAAATAAAATTTATCTAATAAGAATGTTTTACTATATGTGAATTGATATTATTACTATGCAAATACATTAATTTTGGAATATAGAACACAACTAAATTAGCATGTCATAGAAGGCCATATTCCACATTAAAAATTATCAGATGTAAACATGTATCACTAATGTATTCATATGAATTATTTATTTTTAAAATTCAGTCTATTGTTAAATTATATTTAAATTGGAAAAAAATGAGAATAGTATAAGTAACAATACCCATATGTTCATTAAATATATAATGAAAAAAGATTTGTGCAGCTTAACACTCAGAGTATTACTTTCTCAAATAAGTCAGTCTCTAATAATTTAGATTTCAATGTATTAAACAGTTTTTTTTTAATTTGGCTTACAACAAATTACTATAACATTTAGAATCAATTTTCACTTCTCGTTGTTATTCATGTCTGAACACTTAATTGAATAAGTTTCAAAATATATATCATATTTAAATATGTCAATGTCTGTTAAGTGCTGTTAAAGTTGTTAATATCTTTAAACAAGTTCTAATATTTTAATAGTTCCTTGAGAGTTTGCTGCTACCACAACATTGGACATTTGTTTCCAACAAACTGCAGACACAAATTCATTCAGATCCTCTTCTCTTCGTTCTGGTATCTCTAATATACTTCGAACAGCATCAAATTTGTAAGAGAATAATTGCTTTGTAAGACCTTTGTAGTATATATAAAGTGCATTATTTTCTGATCCACAAGCTACATAATCACCATCAGTAGCAAGACCTACAAAATTCTTCTCATTAACATGTCCAACAAATGAACGCAAGCAATGTAGATTATTAATATTCCACATTTTTAATTGTGAATCAGTGCTTGCAGACACTATTTCTTCCTTATTAATGAATTTAACATATGAAACAGCCTTGCGGTGACCTTTAAAAATGCACAGTGCTTCCTTCATATTACGTAAATCATAATAATGGACACAGTGATCTGCAGATCCAAATGCCAAGTGACACGAGCTACGTGGATTAAATTTTACACAACATACATTAGCTTTTGCTTCTAAAGAAGCAACGGAATGATCGTTATTCAAAGACCATAACTTAACTCTAGCATCATCTGACCCTGATGCTATAAGCTTAGTATCTACATCATTGAAGTCAACAGACCAACATCTCTTTTCATGTTCTTGAAATGCTTTGGTTCTTTGACCTGTTGCAGCATCCCATACAGTTACAGTTCCTTCATAATCAGATGATGCTAGCATTCCTTTGTGAAAGGAATTCCATGAAACACATGATATTTTGGAGCTAGAAACCATTTCTACACATGGGTAGTGTATATCTACAGTGTCTCTTATTACAGCACTATAATCAAATACTTTTATACGTTTTGTAACTCCAGCTATTGCAAAGAACTCATTATCCTTATCAAATTCAATGCTCGAAACAATGGTAGAATTATTAAAAATATCTGATGAGTAGTTCAAAGTTGCTAATGGACGTAATGATTTATATCTTGAAAATTTGACAAGATTTTCTCTAAACACATCAAGTCCAGAACTTGTGCCTTGCCATGAGTCACTCTGACTTTGAGACTTATGTCCAAGAAGTAGTTCTTTAGCACGAGAATCAAAGTAACATTGAACAAAATCATCAAAATGAGCATGCATCCTCTTCCTACGTACAGCTAGAGTAGATCCAACAGCATAATCATTTTGCTTTTTACTCCCTGTAGGATTAACAAATGTATCACTTCCAACAGCACTTGCTTTTTCATTTGGCTTTACCATGTTTGAATCTATTATGTCTATAAGACCAATCATTTCTTTTCTAATAGCTGACATTTGTACAGTGTCATTTTCACTTGATTTCTTCAAATCTTCTACTTTAGGACATTTATTTTGAACATCCCTTAAAATATTCTCAACTTCTTCCATGTCTCTTTTAATCAAAGCTATTTCTTTTTGTAGTTGATTCTTTTGTTCTTCCTTCTGTTGTAGTAAATGTTTTAAAAATTCATGCAGCAGTTTGTTCTGTGCTGCACATGTTTCTGCTTCCAGTAAATGTTTTCTCTGTGTTAGCACTTCTAACATTACATTTACATCTGGTAAAGTTAGATTAGCACTTTCTGCAGCTACAATATCTCTTAATCCATCATATGGTGGTACAGATAAATCTGTACCCACTGCTCTGTGTCTACCATCAGCAGCATATGAAGACCCTAATTCAGCTAAACCCTTAATTCTAGTTTTATATTTTGATATTAATTCATGTAACAAAAAGTTTGGAAAAATATCTTGTTGAGTTAATGTATAGCTACATTTTGGACAACGTCCATTGGCTTCCAATGATTTTACTATACAACGATAACAAAAAGTATGACCACAACGTGTAATATGAGCTTCATCAATTATCTCAAAACAAATAGGACAAAGATAATCATTATTTTTATCTTCAAGTGTACCACTAATCCTATGGAGAACATTTGCTGAATGATGTTGTTTACTCATTCTACTACTACATTCACCTACACTCCCACTGCTTCCAGCAGTGCTATCATTTCCCACGTTACTATCACTGATAGCTGACATTTTTCTTCTTGATTGAATAATACTTCTTGAAATACATTTAATTATTTTAAAATACATCTGGTAATTTTAATCTGCCTTTTTAATTTCATATTTTTTGAAGTTTTTTTGAGCTCTTCAATAGTAATTTTACTTGACTAATAACCAATCTAAAGAAATAATTATTTCATAAATAATGCACTATTAAAATTTTTTGTATAACAAAATGTGTCTGGCAACTCCTTCTGTGCAGCGAGTTTTTGCTTCATATCATGCGTACAATACCGTCTCTCAGTCTAGTCTCTCCTGAAACAATGAAAATAATGCCAGTGAGCTCGTGGAACACAAATTTCACTCAAATTCAAGAGTTTTGTCAACAGAAAATACTTTATGGAAAAGTTTTTAAAACAATAAAGGAAAAGCAATTCTGAATATTATATGTAAAGCTCAGGCAGCATTATGACAATTGTTTCAGGCTGAAACTATGAACAAAACATTTAAATATTCATTAATGTTGATTCATATCACTTTTAAAATGAAAATACAAAAATAATACATAAAATTATGCTCTGTGTTATAAATTAATCTTATCATAATTTTATTCCATTTATTATATAAATATTGGTTTATATTGAATTAATGAAGTACTTGCTTCGTATGAAAGAAAACTGTTCAATGTTACATATACAATACTTATACCTGAATATGGACACACATCTATGATCTGGGTTTTCACATATTATATGAAAAAAAATGTGTTTAGTGAAAAGAATATTAACAGAGATTTTATGTAAACACATGATACGAAAAGATGTAATTACAACACGAAATATGTTATACGTTACTAAAACAACTTCGGACTTACAACAAAATATTTTTTTGCAGTTTTCCTTTAACTAGTTCATCATATTTAGCCGCCGTAGGAGTCAATGAAATGTTGCTTTCATCGTCTGTTTCGTATATACCGAGCACCAATCCTTTCTGTTGAAAATTAAAATATCAGGAATAAATACCGAACGCAGAAATCTCGTTAAGAATACAATGTAGTCGAACCATAGCCTCACAAAACAAAATCATTATTTCTATCGAAATCGTTTTATTATGAAAAAAATTAGATAAAAGAGGAGTAATAATACTCTTTGTTAAGACAATTCATAAATTGTATATCTCGACAAAATGTTTCTCCCCCTTTCCCTTTCTACGATCTTTGAATACCGAAACGAAAATTCTCCACTTCAACAGTTTATTGCGCAAAGTAGGAATATACCGTTCATTTAATTAAAGAACACAGATGAATACAATTCAGTGCACAAATAAATAACGTTATAATTACCTTCATGGTCGAGATGCTGGATAAGAAACGTAACTGCGTATTTCCGTATTGCAGACCCTTACCCCTGATAAGAGACAATGCCATAATTCAGTGATGCCAGAATCGTGGGCCGTGGGCGAAAGCAGTTACCCCCACTATGACCTACCGCCGTCTCCCACTATACCGTTCTCGTGCTCTCACACAAGTGTAGCGGTAGCTCTGTCCATGTGCGAAGCCTGTTCGGCTCTTTCCGCCAATTATCTACGTCATCCCGTGACGCTCGAGCAACCTAAGCGCATGAGTAAGAATTAGGAGATTCCCTTTGAATCTCGGTGAGACAAAGTGTTCCGAGTATATGGGCGTTCGGGACAAAAATCATAATTTCTAAATTAATTAATTTTCGACCTAAGTTCTCTAATACTTTTTTGAAGAGAATTCAAATATGCATTGATTGGCACATAAAAATATATATGGTTTCATTTAAAAAAATTGTAGCGATCTATATTTTTTATCAAATAAAAACTTTTTTGTATTTTGTTTGTGTTTTGCATTTATACTAGAATATATAGCTTTGTTAGGTTAGACTCGCTCATTACAACCAAGCCTCTCCTGAGTAACATTAGTTACGAATCAGCTAAACTCACAAGGATATATATTTACCGCTCGAGGTATATCTGACATTACGATACGCACTGTCCTCACAACCATCCAACCTTTCCATCCTTCGGAGAACGACGTATTAGCCACATATGTATGTACGTCGAAGGTTCCAATCCTATCGGACTTGGTGGAGTACGACGTATCACCCACATATGTACGTTGAATGTCCGACCGGTCCATCACAAACCAATATTATGCTCCGTGTGAGGACACAACAAGCGTATCCCGTAACAAACAAATGGACGTATTCAGTCAAAATTATAAGCAATATTACAAACTATGGTTTGTTATTAACATATTAAAATGAAAAAAATTTTAGATTTTACACTTTGAATTTCTGATTTTTGTCCATTGCTCGAAACACTGTGCGTCAGTGTTACATTTTATTTTTAATTAGTTTGTAATTTCATTTTCTAACTTTTCAGCGAAATGAAAAATTTGAGAAATATTGATGTGCAAAGCACTTACCAAGGAGACTACATATGTACCTGTCTCCCGGGGATTTTGATAAAATTTGAAGGAATAAATCTAGAATTCGAAAAATGACATTCTGTAAAATATTTCATTTCAATGCGCATTTTTTATAAACAATTGAAATTACTTCCCCAAAACTTCAAAAGTTTAGGTACTACTGTTGCGTCTTGTACTTCGAACAAGTAATAAGTTCGAGAGTGGTGGCGCTATGCTGTCGCTGGTTCGATGGATGGTGTGATGTTGGTGAAGATAAAATTTTGTCTCACGTATTTCAATATTGTATTTCAAAATAATCTAGGTCTCAGTGTGGTGTGCGTGTCGATCTTTATACAAAAAAGAATAATCTGTCTCTTGAGGGTGTTGTGTCGCTATTTATAAGAAAAGTGGATGTGTGGGAGGTGATGGTGTGCGCCAATTAGAGCGAGACTACCCTTCGGACAGTCCTCCAGACCCGCTAGCACACCGCCCATCCTGGAAGTCCCAGTTGGCAGGGTAGTGGTACGTCGCGGTTGCGGGGGCATGAGGTCCAAGGGTAGCTCGCTCGTAATGGGACTTGAGCGGTCGGGGCGACGGGGAAGGTTTTATGGCACGGCACTATTTGTCGGATTGTCACGAGTGGGCACCAGGAAGACATGTGGCGCGCAGAAACTTTATGTTGCTACCGCCATAAATGCTTCCTGGGCCTCACTGACAGATTAAAAAGAATTAGTTGGCTGAAGGCAAAAAAAAAGGAAAGGTGTGTAATTCAAAATCGCATGAAAGAACGGCCGTGCCATAAACCCAATCCCTAACAACTACAATCTAATCTAATCAACAATCGGCAGTGAGCCAGTGCACAGGATGTTTGTTTCGTAAGCGGGTAATCTGAGTTCGGATCTTTGTACAATAAAATTATAACATTATTTAATTTTTATATTTTTACTTTTATGTCTTTTCAACCGCTTGAAGATAATAAAAATATAATCATTCATTCACCGTGAACTATCTGCGTCTATTTTCCACCAAATATAAAAAATAACAAATGTAATTGTAATTTAATATTGTTTGTTAGATGTGCACATTGCAAAAAATTTCTGTTTGTACTGTTTTTACAATTTGTATCTTTAGTACCTGAATACCTTTGAAGCTGACACAGAATTTTAATACAATAGTAATAAATTTTCCTAATTTTTTATGTAAAATTTTTATCAAATTTAACGAGACTTTTAAAAAAAGTACCGAGTAATACCTCTGTGATTTTTTGTATATTAATTTTGAACATATAAATCTTCATATTAATGTCAAATTTAACTGCTCAAATTTGCTCAAAATGAAGAAAATTGTCAAAATCATTATTGACGCGTTCAGTATTCTAGCGTCCTATCCTACTATTGTACGTGTTATTCAATTTTTTTATTACTTATATTGTTATTTAATTACCTAATGAAAATTACAAAACAAAAATATAAGAGAAATTTTGAATGTATACAAAGTTATGATATTTGTCTCTCAAACCCCTGTATGCGAAACGGCCGCTATGATTTTGCCGGTATTTCCGCGAAACTGATGAACAAATTTTTCAAACAAAAGTTAATCAGTATTCAGTTGACAATAAATCGTGTTAATGAAAATTTACAAAAAAGTTTTTATTCGATAAAAAATATAGATCGCTACAATTTTTTTTAAATGAAACCATATATTTTTTTATGTGCCAATCAATGCATATTTGAATTCTCTTCAAAAAAGTATTAGAGAACTTAGGTCGAAAATTGATTAATTTAGAAATTGTGATTTTTGTCCCAAACGCCCATATACTCGAAACACTGCGTCTCATCGAGATTCAAAGGGAATCTCCTAATTCTTACACATGCGCTCAGGTTGCTCGAGCGTCACGTGGTGACGTAGTAATTGGCGGAAAGAGCCGAACAGGCTTCGCACACGGACAGAGCTACCGCTACACTTGTGTGAGAGCACGAGGACGGTATAGTGGGAGACGGCGGTAGGTCATAGTGGGGGTAACTGCTTTCGCCCACGGCCCACGATTCTGGCATCGCTGTCAAGAGAGCACTTAGGTGTGATATATATACGTGCAGCTATATAGATATATATGAATGTGTAAGTGCATACAAGCATGCGAACGTATATACATATTCCTTTAAAAGATACGATATCTAGATACCTTGGTCACTTATGTTATAGATTCGCAACTGTAGTACCTCGCTTATTTTGTATTGACATCTGGCGGAAATTCCTGAGAAACATGGGCAAATAGTTTAACCTGCTGACCGATAAAATCAGCGTAATTTACGAACTGTTCAAAATCATCCAATCACTTTAAAGAACGAATTGCAAAATTGTTAATTCTTGCTGGTCATTTTATTTTATTCTAAATTCATTTTCTTATATAGGTTTTATTTCTTAGTGTTTTTCCTTAATAATAACAAATTAAATCATTTAACATGTTAATCATTGAATTTGTTCAGATTTCATTAAATATATTTATATGTACAAGATATACATGATGTTTCTGTACAATTCTTATTATTGTATTATTCTTTCGTGTAAAATGAAATAATTTGTAGTATATTTTACTTACATTTTAAGTATACAAATAATATAATAACAAACATTCAATACTTTTTTTCGATAACATATTTAAGTGTTGTTATTATAAGAATCATTGATCTTTTAAAACTATTTATTAAGAAATTCTGCCATAGGATCATCCTCGCGCTTTCGTTTCATTTGAAATGCTTCGATTTCGTCTGCCGTCGGTTCTTTAACTTCATACATACTATTGTAACGACGTTTTCTTTCGTCCACTTGTAACAATCTCTCTGCTTCTTTCTGTCTTTCTTCCTCTTTCTGTAACGCCAGTTGCAACTTATCTTGCTCTTCCATTTTAGCAGCTTTTTTCTTGTTTTTTCGTTTCTCTTTTTGTTTTTGTTTCTTTTCCCTTTTCTTAGAAGATTTTGACTTCTTTAGTGTTTTTGATATTTTCTCCTCTTCATCAGATGAGCTATCGTTACTCATTGATTTTTCATCCGATGAATCTGCTTTTCCCTCTTCGACTTTTTGTTCTTCAGTTGCTATTCTTTTAGTTTCAATAGCTGCTGCTTCAGCCGCAATTTTACCTGCATTTCCTGTGCAGTATGAATTTTTTATGAATGAATGGCAACATTTGTATCCCCATTTACCAGCATGCCAATACGATCCCCAAACGGAAGTATGATTATTTGGATATACATCTTCTTCATACTTCGATCGAATTATTTGTCTATCTTGTCCTTTTATAATCTATAAATACATATAAATGATAAAAGATTTTGAAATTTAACGAATTATAATACTACAGATATTTATAACTTTACATACCTTTCCATATCTAGAGTATTCAACATACTGTTCTGTTTGTGCTAATAAAAGAGAAGATGGAAGGGCATCGAGATGTTCTTCACCTCCATATCTATTAATTATGCTATCACGAGCTTTGTCCTTTAATTCATCACGTTTCTTATCATATTCCTGTTTGAGTAATTCTAATTTCGTAGGTTCAGCAAGTAAATGAACATCAACACCTCTTTCATGTGCTTCCCATGCAAATAACTGAGCATTTGCATGTCGTTGTGTATCTCCAGAAAAACGTGCAAAATTTTCTCCTTTATAATCTACTCTGTAATTACAAATAGGTATTTAGTTGCTTTTTAAATTAAAAGGAATTTTAAAATTAAGAGATTTGTATAATAGTTAAATGCATACTCTCTCTCTGTTCCAACATAAGGATTATCACGCATAGATCTTGTTTTAGGATCATAATATGCAGAACTTGGATCCAAATTTCTCAAATATTTTGCTGTATCTTCTCTAATTCGAAGATTTCTAACAGTAATACGCTGTTTAGAATCTACTTTTGTTCCAGGCATATCAACTTCATCAACATATTTATCCTCATCTTTATCTGAATCTTGTTCATCATTCCCCTCTGCATTTAACTTTTCCGCACGCATTTGCCTCTTTGCTTCTTCAATCTTTTGATATTCTTCAACAATAGCTCTATGTTGTGAAGGATCATAACCAGCCCATCTGCATTAAATGAATATGTTTAAAATATTGTTAAAAAAGTATGTTTCATTTTGTAATGTATCAAATACAACCAACAATTTCTATTACCTGTCTCTTTTGCCATCATAATCCATAGATAATTCAGGTTGGGTAAATTCATCTGGTGCTATATTTGCATTTGTATATTTTGCACCTATTTTACGTGGACGTTCCATACATTCTTTTTTCTTATGAGTCATTGCTCCACAATTTTCACATGCTCCTTTACGATATTTTATTGCTACTTTGGATGCATCTACACCTCGATTGTACCATTCATCTATACCACTGAATTTCCTTTGTTTTTCAGGCTGTGGTCTTTGATGTTTCAAAGTAGGTCCCTGAAAACATTTTATTATTATATCATTTTTATATTATCAATATTAGTATTGTTATACTAAAAAAACATGAACTCTATAGAAAAATAAATGCATACTTGTGCTCCAAAATACCATGGTGTAGCACTAATATATTGTGGAATATGTGGATTAATATCTTTGCCTTCTTCATCTACTGCAGCTGGTGCTGTACCAGCTTTCCTTGCTTCTTCTAATTCTTTCGCTTTTCGCCAGTCTTCTCTGCTTTTCTTTCTGGGTTCATCTTCACAGTTGCTTTTATTTTTTATAATTTTTGACACAGGTACATTAGCTAAAGTATTAGCCATTTTAATAAAATAATATGTAATAGTTATATCTTTACAATTGTATTCAATCTCAACTTCATAACGAAGTTTGTTTTTGACATTTCACTTTATAAAACTTATAAGTATTAAAACTAACCTAACGTACATGAAATACAAGCACATTTAAGGCCAGTTCACAATATTGTGCATACTGTATATACCGTAACACTGTACTATAAAATTGTAAAGAATCAACTAATGCTTATAAGGTTTCCTTTAATAAAATATAATATTACACTATACGCATATTACATAAAAATTATAGTTTAAATTTCATATATATTTAAAAAGAATTAAACTAATCGCAGAACTTATATTTTCAAAGCATAGTATTTATTGATCAAACATTTTTATCCTATTTTATATTGCAAATTATTTAAAGAAAATTATTTGAAAAGATGTAAGGAAAATCATTAGTTAATGTCAATTATAAATAACAAAGAATTACATTTAATTGACACTAAAAAAATTTTTAATTATAAAGTTGGTCAATGAAAATCACCTTAATAGGGGCCATTTAAAAAGTGGAGATTTATCGACAGTATTGGGGCCTTATAAATAAGCATATTTCAAATTTAATATTTTCGCTTCAATTTTTTATTCTAAGTATGTAATTAAGTAATTTTAAAGAATGCATATTAATTAATATTCCTAAAAACATTAATATATTGTAACTTCATTATAAGAAACAACTACGATTTCCAGCTGCTTCAAGAATTGGAATGTAAGATCAAAATGGAGGCAGTACCAAATAGATCGATATTGTTCCGTAATGTCTCATATTGTTGCTGATTTTTCTACTTATAGCATACTAGTAAGTAATTGTTTATTAAAACTTATGTAGCATGAAATACCACGCTGTTTAATGTACTGAATAAGATAATTAATTAGTTATCAATACACCCGCGAAATTTAAGTCCCAACGTTAAAGCTACTTTTAAAAAATTTTTTTTAAATATTTCCATTTATTACTTATAATTTTTTTTTAAGTCTCCTTAAAAAATATAAATATTACTCAAATACGTAAAATATGAATTTATATAAATAGTCAGACCAAAGTTGTAAAATGTTATCAACAAAATATATAATTTTTTGTGAATTTTATTATAGTTTAGAAATATATTGTTGTTTCTTTTAATTTAGAATAGAGCATGGAATGGATGGATCATGTCCACTTCTCCTTCCATCCTTTGGGGAAAAGGACAGTTCTGAAAGAGAAACTGCATATTCATCCCAAAAAGTTGGTCTATATAGACCAACATCAGATGCAATTGACTTAGGATATCATACTTTAGATAACAATGCCTGTCGTTCAACATCTTCATCAGCTGTTATATCAGTTCCAATTAGACAACAAATTTTATTACAACAAAAGTGCATTTATGTCACTGATTTATGTCAGCTGGATGATGGTTTACTGTTAAAGATATTCAGTTGGCTGGGTACCAGAGATCTCTGTTCTGTTGCTCAAACTTGCAGGCGTCTTTGGGAAATAGCGTGGCATCCATCTCTTTGGAAAGAAGTAGAAATACGTTATCCCCAAAATGCAACAGCTGCATTAAATGCCCTAACCAGACGAGGATGTCACACATATATTCGTCGTCTCATACTCGAAGGTGCTGTTGGTTTAGCTGGGATTTTTGCCCAGTTACCATTTTTAAGTTTAACTTCATTAGTTTTACGACATTCCCGACGTGTTACAGACACAAATGTGACAGCTATATTAGATAATTGCATACATCTGAAGGAATTGGACTTAACAGGATGTATTGGCATAACAAGAGCATGTAGCCGAATAACAACATTACAGTTACAATCATTAGATCTCAGTGATTGTCATGGTGTGGAAGATTCTGGCTTAGTATTGACACTTTCTCGCATGCCACATCTTGCTTGTTTATACTTACGACGATGTGCACGTATAACTGATGCCAGTCTTATAGCAATTGCTTCCTATTGTGGCAGTTTACGACAATTGTCTGTTTCTGATTGTGTAAAGATCACAGATTTTGGAGTACGCGAATTGGCAGCACGTCTTGGTCCATCTCTGCGATACTTTTCAGTAGGAAAGTGTGATCGTGTATCAGATGCTGGTCTTTTGGTTGTTGCTAGGCACTGTTACAAATTGAGATACTTAAATGCTCGTGGCTGTGAAGCACTTAGTGACAGTGCTACGTTAGCTTTGGCACGCGGATGTCCACGTCTAAGAGCTCTTGATATAGGAAAATGTGATATTGGTGATGCAACTCTTGAAGCCCTATCTACTGGCTGTCCAAATTTAAAAAAATTATCCTTATGCGGTTGTGAACGCGTCACAGATGCTGGATTAGAAGCATTAGCATATTATGTACGAGGATTGAGGCAGCTCAACATTGGTGAATGTCCTAGGGTTACATGGGTTGGATACCGAGCAGTGAAACGTTATTGCCGTAGATGCATCATAGAACACACAAATCCTGGTTTCTCAAGTTGAGTCTTCTAAACCATATTTTGCTAACCTTATTTACAATCTATTTATTAACAATACTTGTTTTAGTACTTATCTAGATACTAATTTGTAAAAAGACGGCTATCATTTCATGTAATTTTTATATTTATTTTATAAATAAACATTTTTAAAATTTTACAAAATTGTAAAAGCTGTATTAACATTTTATAACTTTTTAAAATAAAAGTATAATTTTAAGCGAATGTTAAGTTGATGACGTAATTTAGAAAAATTAAACATTGCAATGAAATTTCACAGTTCCGTAAATTGTAAGTGGATGATGCAGCATATTAATAGAAAGCGTAGTATAAATCGATGTGTTTACATGTGATTGGTCCATTGTTCTATTGTGTTTGTAAAGTGACGTGCTGATTGTAACAAATACGTTTGAATATTATACAAACGAAAATATTTATTCGTAATTATGAAGTGTACAAAATTCATGCTAAAACGTGAATATTTTATATCTTAGTCTTCATTTATTTTACTTTCGTGTATTCTAACCTCTACACTTTAAAAGCATCGAAATAATTCAAGCTTTAAATATTCACGCGGTCTATATTATAAACGAAAAAAATATCTCTACATTAGAAGGAAAAATTTTATTTATTCATTCATAAAGTTATGTGGAATTATGAGACCTGTTCAGAGGAGACAACAAGGCTTACAATACGGCGTTTATTTATTGGCTATGCAAGCTTTAAACTTTGGTGTTGATAAAATTCCACCGGCTACTTTAATTACAATTATTGGACAAGTGAGTAAATCTTAACTCGAATAAAATTAATAAAGTAATATAATATCGTTAAATTATAACAAATTGTACAAAATAATTTTTGTAGGTTTTACTATATGTTGGTTTGATAAAAGTTCCATGGAATGCAGAAGAAGTTTGTATATCTGCAATAAAAGTATTTAAATATTATGATTGGAATTCTTTCATAGTATCAAATTTTGAACATGGTTCAGATATGCACTTATATTATAATATGATATCTTTGATTTTAAAAGGCTCATATTTAGAACCTATGTATGGTGCAATGAATTTTGTTACTTTACTGGCTATTTTTTCACTTGGATGTAGCGCTATGTATGCAGGTTTAGGATATGGTTTAATGCAATTAACTGGAGATTATGGATATTATACCCAATGTGCTATTGGGTTTTCTGCTGTTTTGTTTGCATTAAAAGTACTTCTAGTGTGCGAAGAACACGATAGAATTCATGATGTGGGTGGATTTAGAGTTCCTAGTAAAATTGCTGTTTGGGTTGAACTAATTTTAATTCATCTTTTAGTTCCACAATCTTCATTTATAGGACATCTTGGAGGTATTTTGGTTGGTTGCTTATATTGTTACACTTTTATTGGTGAAATAATTGATAATATAATAGGTACTGTAACTGGTACTCCTATTATACATGAAGAACAATTTTATAGGAGACGTAGTTCATTTCTTAGATGAATTTTAAATTAAAGCTGTTACAAACTGTGAAAATTTTATTTAATTGATGTTACCATATTATTACTAAAAATTTTGGTATTTGTCCTAAAATAAAATTCAACTGAAATTATATATTTAAACATATTCTGCATAACAACTCCTACACTTTAAGTACGCAATAGCTTACATTTATGGAATTTATAAGAAGTTTAAGATAAAAATACCTATGTTTTGTAAAAACAGAATCATGTAGATTCTTACAACATAGTCAAAAGAGTGTTAATATATGATTTATGGTGGCATACTATTTTTATATACATATGCACATATAAAAAACTGTACTATAATAAATTAATTTTCTATCAAAATCAGTGTTAACTTATTTACACTTTGTTTATAAACATTAATTGTACATGTATTTTTATGCGTTACATAATACATTGTAAAGAAAAAATAGATTATCTATACAACAGCTTACCATTTCATATATAACATTATAGATTGAGGCAAATTATCAGTCTATATTCTCCATACATTTTTTCAACTATGAAGTTTAAGTGTAATTTAATTTTGTGATCAAATTTTTTTTAATATTTCGCACTAAGCTAATGCAAGCTATTTACGGAAACGTGTGTAACATGATTAACTTGCTTTTAACATTTTATATAATTTGTACAATGTTGCATTGGGTCTTTTAGATTTTACTTCTGATTTTAATAATGATGTCACTAGAAATACATTAATTATTAATAATATATATAAACCAGCATAAAATATATCAGTACATAAATAAATCAACTTACAGATTGTTTGGTAATCCATTTTATGAGGAATGTCATAAAATACAAAATACGAGCACATTTTTTGTAATAAACTTACATCATCTTGAATATCACCAGTTGTTAAATAAGATCTAATATGTGGCGTTAACTCTACAAAAAAAGTGGAGGATATTAGGAAAGTAAAAAGTCGAAATGAATATTAAACAACACAATATTTACCATGTTCCCAATTATCCATAATATATGAAACTTTTTGCTTAATTGCAAGCATACTTTCTGCACCAAGTAGTGGATTCTTATTTTCTATGTAAGATTTTTTTAACATTTGGGATGAAATAAGCTTTATTTGCCATATAGAAAAACTGTTTGGTTCTTTTGCTATAATTTCCATACTCTTTATTAAATTCACCCAAAAGGGAAGAAGACTTACTTTGTCTTTTATCACACATTCATACACAATTATAGCAAATGTATGTAGGAACTGTTTTTCGAATTCCGTTATATCAGAATACTGTCGTTCAGATTTACATAAATAACTGGTATCCTTTAAAGCAGATGATAATTCTGCAATTTCCATTTTTTCACTAGAAGAATCTGACCGTTCATTCCAACTACCACTTATTCTTTCAGATGTATCACTGAAGCTTTGAGATAAATATCCAGAACTATTTTTAGCTAAACTACCGCAAGATTGTGCTTTTAAGTTAGACTCATTTTTAGTTTTATCTTTTTTAGACCACTGTAAAAAATATTTGACTATATTTAAAATAGTTTTATCATTTGTAAATGAAGTCACACATTCAGGACGAGCAGCCCATGGTATAACATTTTCCGTTGTTAATGTTTGGGCAATTAAACTTCTAAAACCCTGCAACATTAAAAAATTATGTACACATTAAATTTCAATATATTTATGTGTTATTAATTTGATAAGAAAAGTTAGAAAATGATAATTACGTGAGGATCTTCTATATATGGTAAACAACCAACTCTTTGTTTAACCCCTAAATTTCCGCATTTTTTAAGCATGTTTACAAGTTGTTGCCAATTATGATCTTTTTCAAAAACAATTTCCCAATATCGATCATCTTTTAGTTCAATTTTGTTGATATTACATAATTGTGGCAACAAACATGGTGCTTGAAGTATTAGATCTTGTCCTTCAGCATCTTTTTCAGATTCGAATGTTAAGTGTACAGTTGCATAGCAATACTGACCACTATCGATGTCTCTAGGCAAAATTACTCGTGGTTCTGCAGCTAGTACGTACAAATGCCGTAATGCTTGTAAATGATACCTATAAATTAACAAAACAAATTGTTGTATATAAATTATTACATTAATAAACTAATATTTATAAAAACACTATACTGTTACTAACCTGTTATCATTACTGTGTGTTGGAAATTTTGGGAAAAGGGAAATTATGAGAGCAGCTATTGCACTTGGACTATTAGAGAGTGTGTACTTCCCTCCTCCAAGAAAGAGGAGACCAAGAGCCATATGTGTTGCTAAATGAGATCCATATGTAACAACACAACTTGCAGGTCCAACGCGAGTCCTTATGTGCCGACATATTCTCATAATCTTCACAATTATATATAAGCAATTTAACAATAAAAAATTGACAATATTAAATAATTAATTTGTTAAACTTACTTCTAAGTTTCCCGTTCCTGCCATTACAACAGCAACAGAAAGTAAAGTCACATTTAAACACGTTTCAATGGTTGACTTTCCTGCTAATTCAGCGATAGTTTTATGTGATAATGCCGTAAACATTTGGGCATAATTATATAAAGTTTTAAAGGCATTTCTGTTGGCAGTTCCTGCATATTTCAGACCCAAAGCCATACAAGCACCCGCAATTATATTGCAATACGCTTGACTATATTTTAATAAATGGTAATTAACATAAAAGGTAATATAATAATATAGTAGTATAATAATACTTCAAGTACTAACTTCATGGTTTCCAAATCTACATTCTGGGCTATTTCAGAAGTTGGTTTTTGTAACCTGTATTTATAAACGATATTAGGAACGTGACTAGACACCCAAGACTTCGTTGGTTCAATTTCGTTCCATAGAATAAGTGATTTTGCTAATATTCTTAATAATAAGAAGTCAGGTCGTACAAAATCTAATAAGTATTGAGTATCAGGAGCTTGCATCCATTCTGCTACTGCTCGATTTCCTGTATTAAAGTACATAAAACCTAGAGCTATTGTTGCTCCAGGACTTGTCACATCAATATTTATAGAATCACCTTCTCTTATCTGATAACTAAAATTACAAAAAGAGAAAAATGTTAAAAAAGGGAATACATAAGTACATTATTTTTCTTACAATATGAATATATTGACCTGGGTGATTTGTATTTGTCTTTCTGTGCTCCAGTAAACGGCCTAACATGTCCACCGACCATGTAATAATGTAAAGTGTTCGGTATATTAGCTAAATCCGGACCACCTCCACATCCTAATACTACTAAACCTAATGCCAGACCTGCTGCCAAAGAATACGATTCTCGATCCACACAGTTTTTCATTTCTGGTCCAGGAGGTCTTCCTTCAAGTAATTTAATGAACTTAGTAAAATAATTCACAATTAGAAGACAACTTCATATTGAATAGTTACCGATCTCTGATAATAAGGCATGTGAAATATGCCTGTGAGCAGTTCCTTGATATACTAAACCAACTCCCATCAATGCAGCAACTTGAACATTCTGTTGAACGTTTAATTCAATACTTGTCGGTGGTAATAGAGTTTCCACGTGAAGAGATAACAGTTTAGTCATAGAAACATTCATTGTACCACGGTGAGTTGCTGATAATCCTAACAGAAGTCCAACACTGGTAGCTTCATGGCATTCAACTAGATATTCATACATACTAAAAGGCGCTAGATTCTTCAGGTGACCATTTAAACCAAGTGCCATCAAGAAACCTGAATGTTCCATACCAAATTCGCCTTGTTGTTGTTTATTATATACTATCCAGGTTGAATCAATATTAGATGCATCTGGATGAATTCGAAGGCCTGCGGCTACACCATTATGAAATAATGGCCATAAATTCATGTTGGGTGGAATATCTATGTGAGCTAATTCTACAGTTGTTCCACGAGGCGGTGCTTTCCCTGTCATGTAATAATATTGTATAATTGCCAAAAATTCTAGAAATACGAATACTATTATTTGACTCATACCAGTTAAGCAAAGTCGAGGAATTGGTAATTGTTCTGTGATAATAGGAGTCGAAGTTCTGAGTGTAAACATGCCTCTAGCTACTGGAAGTGCCATTGTTCTTGTACATAGTGCATGTAAATGTTTCTCCTGTTCTTCTATAAATTCATGATCACTTACATCTGGTCTCTGAACTATTATTATTCTTACTGGTTTTGATGAATTTAAAAGTTTTCGAACTTCGGCTACTCTGTGATCTTTGTTAAATCTCAATTTCAATACCTATGGTACATTATAATTATTATCAATATATTTAACAAGTAACAGCCTGTAAATATTCTTAATATTTGGTTTTTAAATTTACAGCATCATCAAATTCCATGCCATCATCTTGTTCAGGATCTTTAATAGAATAATTTTTTCCCTCATTTTCCACGTGATTTAATACAGGCGACTTCAAATGTTTGTCTAATGCAGATAAATCTTGTCGATCTACTAATTCATACGCTTGCATCGGCCAATTTGATGGAGGACGTTCTCTACATCTATACATTACATCTTTTAATAGTAATGCTATACCAGGAGGTAATGTTTCAAGATCCTTTTTGTTCATACCTAAAGAAAAAGACGTTTTAAATTTAATTGAAGTTTAAAACTAGTGACACTTGCAGAATAAAAACCTACCTAATTCATGATATAATAGTACTATTCTATCTATCGCAGAATATTCAATTTTTTTGTATATTTCTTTTTCAAATTTATTTCCACTTCCCTGAAAATCTATACGACTGCCAACTGGTATTATGTGCTTTACAAATCTATCTATTTCTAACACACCAACTTCATTTTCATTTGCTATAAGCGCCATTAAGTAAATTATATTTTTTGTTTTTGGATTTACTTGGCTCAAATAAGGGAATGGTGTCATTTGCATTCCATTGAGTAAATTATTTAATGTTTCAAATATATTTGGTGGATTTAATGGCATATAATTTGGTACAGTCATTTTCTGTAAGTCTGTTTCCTTAATTTGAGACACAGTATGTTTCAAGTAATATACAGAAGGAAAATCAAGGAAATAATGATGAGCATATACATCAAATCTTAAGTCCAAGCTTAATTGATACAATAACTGTGCAAGTAGAGGTAAGCTTTCTGACATCACACAATTTAGCTTCAATTCTTCATATAAAAGATGTAAAGAAAATAGGATGAGTGGAAAATATGGAAATAAAATAGATTGTGTGTTTACTTTTCCTATGCTATTTGACTCTATAGCACGTGGTACTGATGTTTGAAGTGTATTAGACGTTTTATGAAGGCCAAGTATATTTGAAATGAAAATTTGAGAATTTCCATTCTTTATAAAATTCGCCATATACTTCCAATCATCGTTAGATCCACAATTATTTGTTTTCTGCTTCTTTGGAACCACCATAGGACTACTGCGCTCACCAAGTTGATCTTTTTCATTTCTTTGAATTAACTGTAATTTTTCTACTTCATATCCCAATAATGTAAATAAAACTACAAGAAAAAGGTACCACTCTTGTTCTGGTGAAAAATCTTGAGGTCCAGGAGCATTTCGTGCTCCATACCATTTTACTAATAGTTGCATTGCTAAATCTTTTTGTAAAACACTCCTTAATGTTTGTAAACACTTAGTTACTGTGATAAATACAAAAAATTAATTCACTGTTAAAGTATACATAATAATCATAATTATATTCGTACTTACCTAAAGGGGAGGTGCTGGATGTCGGTAATGTTATTCGAAAATAATTTTTACTTCCATATTCTAAAGTAATTTTATTTCCTACTGCTTCTTTTAAGATAAGATAGTTAGAGTCTACTAAAGAATTTTCTAATAAAATGGGTGGCCTTGCACAATTACCACCTACAGGACTTAATAAATGTAATCCTTCTTCAAATTTGATATCATGAGAGGCGGCGCAATTTTGAGAAATCAATGAACTTCGTCGTGGAAACGGAGAACCTAATTTATGATTGATATTAGATAAAAAATAGTTGCAACCAGTTAAATTTGGAAGTATTCCTGTTACATGCAATTTGCCGACACAAGTTACACCTGAGTATAATACTACTCCATTTGACAGATCCATTACTGCCATCATATGTAAATTCTGAAATAGAATAATTTATTTTACAATTTTAGTAATAAATTTATATATTAATATTACAAAAAAATGTTAGTAAATACTAACTGGTATATTCACAGCATCCTTTGCTACAACACTTGTTACCATACCGAAAATAATTTGTTGTTGTTTATTAGTTTTCTCAAGCCTCACTAAGAAGAGTTGAGATCTATGTGGGACTAAGTAACATAAGTAACTTTGCCCCACAAAATCAGATGACAAGAAAACCTTAGAGGCTCGACTAGATGTAACATCCCTTAAAGAAATATTTATGTATTAAAGCTATGTTCTTCTAAAAGAATAGAAAACAAGAAAAGTTTATAAAGATTTATATAAAAATGTAACTCTTACTTTGGAATTCCAACATTTTCAGTCCACACGTGATCAAGACATATCTCAGGGTACAGAGGTTTACTTGGTGTAACATTTTGTAGCTGTATGTTACTACAGTTAGTAAGAGGACTATTTTGTACATGACTTGATGTAGAAACCATCATTGTTTGATGTAACCTTGTATGATGAAGAATAGAAGAAACAGGTGCACCAAGTAAAGGTGAAAAAGCAGAATGAGTAGGAGACTGACAGCGTGAAATAGTTGCCATTGGACTTTGAGATCTTGAATGTTGCTGTTGTTGTTGAGAAGGTGATGGGCCTCCAGAACATGTAGTAGTATAAGATGTTCGTGAACCAAATGGACTACTTGATATTCCCAACCCAATATTTAATTGTGGATTTGGCACACCTAAAATACAAGTAGATTGTTCATTAAAAATTTCCAGTTTTTTAAATTGGACAATTTTTTTAAATAGTGACAGATTATTTTTACCAAATATACTTAAGTGTCCTTTATTTGTACTTTTATTATAGGAAAGATTACTTCCAATATTTAATGGAGATACACTTGCTGATTGATTAAATATACTAGAAGTAGTATCATTACTTCCAGAAACTATCTGACATTCTTCTGCTAAAGCTTTACGTATTTTATATACAGAATGTAATCCAGTCTTTATATCATACATCACAGCCAAAGATGGTTCAGCACTAGTAAATACAATCTGTTGATTTGAATCACACATATATGATATGTGTCCTGCAAAAATAATTGTAAATATATTGTATTTTTCTATTTTAAATACTATAACAAACTCCATAAAATTTATACCGATACCATGTTTAACAAGTACAGGGCAAATTTCATGTAAAGGGTGCAAAAGAGAAAATGCCACTGGTAGAGTTGTATTATTATGTGACTGCAATCTATTTCCTTCTGAAGAGATATATCTAAAATTATTAGTTACATTGTAATGAATACATATTAAACCTAAAGTATTGTACACATTATATTATAATAAACCTTGTTTCTGATGTGGGAACTTGTGTTTTCTCCAACAAAATTCCATATTTAGTTGGCCAAACAGCAGATACCTAAATAATAATGTAAAAACATCTACATTATAATTATACATTTGTAATAAAAATATTATATTTAATTCAAATATTACCTGAAATTGTAAACTAGATACATAATCTTCTCCACTATTGGTAAATACTTTTAGAGTATATGAATCAATTAAACAAATGCATTCTGTTGTTTTCTCATTAACATCTTCTTCATCTACTTCCTTTCCTTTTGTTAGATGATCAGGTATACTAGTATGAAATTTGCACCACAGTGCATGTTTAATATCTGTTTCACAAGTATAGGTTGTTTGCAATATTCTAGTAGTTTGATTACCCTTTGAATGAATTGCAACTTTGCCTGAACAATATAATTCTTCTTCACCACATATATCATTTTCACGCACAATCCAAAATTCTTTCTACATATGTAAAATTGTGTTAAAAATTTTAAATAATAATTAATACAATCATAATTAATAATCACACTTACTGGTGATCTCCCTGAAATGTTTACTTGACTAAACTTTTGTAATAAAATACTTTCTCCTTCCACTGTTTTATTATTTAATTGTTGTTGATTAGTTACTGACTCAGGATGCCGTAAAATTGTTTGTCTTCCACCAGGAACATATTCCTTTAAGAAATGTGTTATAAAATTAAGGTTATAATTATTAATAGATTACTTATCGATTTAAATTAATAGAAATTTCATTGCTCAATAATTGCAAAAATAATATATTTTAATGTTTGGTTACATGTATTTGATTATATCTTAACCTAGAAAATGTATGACTTACCACCGGTTCTGAGGCGGCAATCATCTTTTCCCTAGTTTCATCCAGATTTGCAGGATATAATTATTAAAGACTAAGAAAACAATATGATAGTATTTATTTTAAATTGTCTCTTAGGATTATTTGAAAATATTTTTGCAAATACAATGTTGTTAAACGATGAGTCACAATGGACGTCGCCATATTCAAATGTATTGTCTGGCAAAGCAAATTTGAGGCTTCAGGCGGGCTTTAGGGTCCAGAAATGGTAGATGTGAAAGTTCTGATGTCTCGCTGTTAATCAGTCAACAATGATAGAATACAACTATCGCACTTACTCTTTTATGAAAAATAGATTATGTTCGTGCTTCGCTTGAGCAGTCGGTAACAAATGAACCACGTACCGATTTTTAAAGCGCGAAAACGGTGACTGTTAGTCTGTGATGGCATACTATTTTTCATTACAATTAGAAATTTTTGGGCTTCATAAGCAATTTTTTAAAACACAGAAAATTAAATATGTATACAAATTTTACATAGTGTACTATACACATAAGTAACTTAAAAAGGGGTTGTTTTGCACATATTAAATAAAATACTGATTAACAAATAACTACACAGCAGTAATAAATTATAAAAATTTGTTATTACAAATAAAAATACAATTATTAAAGTAAAAAGTGTAAATATTACATATATTAGTTGTACAATACTGATTACTAATATAATTTACGACATTTGAATAAAATGCATCTTAAAATAGTTAACTTAATTAAATTATATTTTTACTTATAAGTGTGAAAAATTATGACATTGTTTAGTAACTATACGTTTATTTTCTACATCAATATAAGAATGAATATAAAGAATAAATAACATGACTGTAAAGAATTAACCAAGGTTAATTGTTACCACTTGATTATAAAAATCGATGTAACCATTATATGTGTAAAGAGTTTATAGATTTATTGTACCAAAGCATACATATTTACAAGTACTTTGCAAGATTGTTACTAATGATAGAAATTACATCATCTCTATAACGTTAACTTGATAAACCAAAGCACTTCATTTTTGTTTCTTCGGTCATATTAAGTATAATAGAATTGTGAATAGTATAAAAAAAATGTAATTTGTAAAAATGAAACTTCAAAATAAGAAATTTCATTCCGAATCTGCAGCAAATGTAGTGTTTAGCTTCACAAGTGCATTTAACTTGGAAAGTTAAAATGTATTTAACTTTGGAAACTTTTATGTACATTTCCAAGGAACCTTAATAAATAGATATCC